ATGGCCTGGAAAGTGCGCTTCCAAGAGATCTGCACTCGCCAGCTCAGCCCCTTTCCCACATCTCCATTCCCTTACAGAATCCCCAATCTCTGTCTCACCCTGAAGGCAGGATTCCTTTGTCTCACCCTGCTGGCAGGATTCCCAGTGCCCCTCTTGGCAGGGATTCAGGGATCTGAATAAACTTTCCTGGCTGGTGGTGTAGTTAAGCAGCGCTATGCCTGCCTGCCAAGTGCAGGGTGCTGAGTTCAATCCCTGATACCAGAAAAAATTAAAAATAAAAAACCCTCTTTACTGAATTTCTTTTTTTTTTTTGGTGCTGGGATCGAGCTTGGGACCTTGCACTTGCGAGGCAGGCGCCCAAACCACTGAGCTAAATCCCCGGCCCTTACTAAATTTCTTGATAAATTCTACTGCTCACATCACTGGCCCTCTATACACCATCTGCCACGACGGTCAGGTGAACACAAACGCTCTGACAAGCTTCCTTCAAGCGGAAGCAAGGAATTAAAAAATCCAGAATTTCGGGCTGTGATCCCAGAACCCTGAGATTCCGTGGGTTGTGAAGAGCACCCCTATCCCTAGTGGGCTTCCCCTAGCAATTCTCCTGAGAGCCTCTAGGGGGCACAGCTGGGTTGTGTTTGCTTGCGTGATGGCTGTGGTGCTATGAGCTGAGGTGATTTGATTCATGAAGAGAAAGGAGGTATCATTCTAGAACAGGATCTCAAGTTTGGCATTGTTGAATATTGGGTCAAAGAGTTTTTGTTTCTCGGGGTTTTCCTGAGCCCTGCAGGGTGTTCGCCAGTTTCCTTAGCCCCTACCAGGAGATGCTGGCAGTCAGTGGCCAATCAAATGTACAGCAGCTATTGTAACTATCCCCTGGGTACCACAGCGGTAAAGAACGACCGGTCCAGAATGAAGCTGCACATGATTAGGAGCTACATGAGTGAGGCGGTGATGTGGAAGGGGCAGTCTGAGAAAGGCTGCAGACAGGGCGTCTGCCCCAAGTATCGGGGAAAATGTACCAGGCACACTCAGTGCACATCTTTGTGACATCAGTACCTCTGCCCCTTGGACTCATAAATAGACTGTCCCGTGCTTTGCTGGCTTGGGGATAGTGCTATGACAGGGATGCTCAGCCCTGGCTGCCCGTTCTCACCACCTGGGTGGGTACTGAAAATCCCAGTGCCCCCTGATAACACCCCAGGCTGGTTTCTCAGATGTTCTCTTGGTGATGAGCCCCAGGCATGGGGAGTTTTTAATGCTGTGCTGGTGGGTCCAAGGTGTCGCTCAGATTTGTATCCAGCAAGCTTTAGGTGCAGGCAGCAGCCGCATCAAGCTTCAGGTGTGTATCCTGTGCTCTGTTGCCTACTGATGGGGAGGAAGTTCCTGAGCAATGGACTAAGTGCACATAGCCTCAAAGTTTCCCACTTCATTGTGAGGGGAGATGTCTCCTTACAGTCAGTGTCGTGTGAAATTAGAAAGTTCTCAGGCCTTTGTAGGTACTGAATGAATGTCAGTTCCTCTTTCCTGTCAGGAATGCTGGGAAAGGGTGGAAAACAGCCCTGCTCAGGAAGGAGAGGCACCAGTGTGGCTGGCCATAGGTCTCTGAAAATTGTCCAAGCAGAAAATTCAAGGAAGGAGGAAGAGGCAAGTGTTCATGGACAGCTCTGTCACCCTCTTATGTGACTTTTTAGAAGAGATATCATATACCCTCACTTTCAGGCCTTATGTTGTGCCTTCTCAAAGCAAATAGCCCAGCTTCACATGGGATGTTTCCACAGGAAGAAACACATTCTGTTGATTGTAGTTAAATCTCTTCTCCCTTTGTGGCTCAGAAGTCTCCATTTTCTGATAAACATTGAAGAAGTTTCTGGAATGTGTGACAGATCACCGGACACAGCTGAGACACCAGCCCTGTGGGATGCTCTCAGCAACTCCGAGGACTTGTGACGAGTGCCTGCCCAGCCTGAGTTCAGTTGCAGTCCTGAAGCAGCACAGTAAGAACAACTCCATCAGCCGAAAAACACTTCATAAACCACGATTTTGCCATTTTACCATCAGGCTTGGGAAACCCTGCTTTCTTTCTCCTTCCGTGCCCAGTGTTGAGCTTCCCAGTGCCTTGCCTCCCATTGGTCTATTATCCAATAACCCACCAGGGGACAGCACAGCACCTCAGACTGACACAGATTCGTGCCCCTGCCACTAACTGCTATTGCCCCAGGGGCAGGGCACCTGAAAGACTAGTGTCAGGAACTCCTGACCAGCTGGAGAAATACCCATGGGAGCTGGGCATGGTGACACACACCTATAATCCCAGCACTTGGAAGGCTGAGGCAGGAGGATCGCTGTGAGTTTGAGGCCAGTTTGGGCTACATAATAAGTTCAAGACTAGCCTGAACCACATAGTGAGACCCTGTCTTAAAAAACAACAACAAAGAGTACACAGGTAATGGGGAAAAAAATAAGCAAGATTCGTCATGTACAAGTACAAGCACCCAGTGATAAATGTAAACGTATTGTATACCTAAAATGTACCAATAAAAGAATTTAAAAGAAAACAACAACAACAACAAAAAGAAATACCCATGGGGAAACAACACTCCTGAGCCTCACTGTGGGTTGGCCTCAACTTAGGTATGAATCCTAGAGGCCCATGGATGCCACGCCCCTTTCCGCAGCTTTACCTGCGACAGTGTGATCAAGGGATGACCACCAGCTTTGACTGCTGACTCCTGGGGCAAAAGAGCATGAAATCAGGCCTGTGAGAAGCTTCATCTCGCTCACATATCAGGGGAGGGTCAGGGAGATGCTGACCACACTGACATACACAACTCTGGCATTTATATTCTAAAGAGAGCCTGCCTGTGCATCCCCACTGGTTCATTAGAACCTTAGTGTTTTCTCTAAGAAACTGTGGTACAGCCTCACTCAGTTCTGAACCTCACCTCAGTTCTGAACCAGGCCCTGGGCCCAAGTCTAAGGATAGCAAGGTGGGGCTGATGCAGAGAGAATGGGGCAGTTGGAACCAGATTGTCACTCTCCATCAAAGCCTATACTTCACACAAAGGCATTTCCCCCTCTGCCCAGTACAGATGTCTCATGGGAGACATATAAATCAGAAAAATTATTTTTAAAGGAAATCACACTCTTATTGGGAAAAAGAAAACAGATTTTTCAAAATCACTCTTTGGAGTCATTGCTCACCCAGTGCCTGGTGACACAGAACTGCTGGTCCCTGGCTGCCAAGGAGAGGAGGCTGGTATTTATCTGAGCCTTCCCCACTGGGGTCATGCCAAGGAGAAAAATCTAGGCCTGGTGCTTGGGAAAGGTCCTCCCAGGTCATTTCCTCTATCAAAGATTGCAATAGCAATCTTACTAGACTTCACTGTGTTCTTCATCCATAGGTCACTGTCCCCTGATGGACAATCTGAGACACAATATAGCTCGGCTCTGCCTTGGCAACCTTTTGGGTAGGGCTTCTCTGCTGGGCGAAACTGTGGGAGCTGAGGCTGTAGAGAGGGGGAGGGAGAGAGAGAGAGACAGAGAGAGAGAGAGAGAGGGAGAGAGAGACAGGGAGAGAGAGACAGAGACAGAGAGAGAGAGAGAGGGAGCACGCGTGCGCAGGGCAGTGCTGTCCCTAGGGCTGCTTGCCAGTGTGTGATCAGCAGGGGCTCTTGCAGCCAGGACCTGCCTTTCCCAATCATTGGCTCAGGATGGGCCCTGCTGGATCAGACAGCAGCTGTGTCAAAAATTAAGCCCTTTGAGTTCATGTCTAAAGATTTTGAGATATAAAACTGACAGGCTAGAGCTTCAAATCTCATGGACATCCTGGATAGCACCTTCCAGGACCTCATCTGAACATACTAAGCTGTCAGTTCTAAGGAATAGCTGCCCTGCACAGCTGGGTTGGTCAGGTAGCCACTGTATTCGCTAAGCTGGGTGCCAAGTGTGTCAGGGAGTAGAGGGACTCTGCACTTCTATAACTCAGTCCTGGAGGCCACACTGACAGTGACAGTGTTGTGCGATAAATTGGAAGCTCAGCTGAGGCATGCTAGGCTCCAAGTGAGGGGAAAGGTGGGGAGAGCTCCTTCCTGTATTGGCCAGGGATAAGGGAGTCAGAGTGGTCCTGTAGGAGTGGTGGAGGCACACGGGGGTAAGAGAGGGGTCAGTGGCAGAGCCCAGCAGGGTAAGGTCAGGATAATGTTACAGGAAATAATACCGGTTTCACCCTATAAAACTTCTCTGTAAAGTGGGGTCCCTGGGCTACCCACTCAGGACCCCTCCTGCCCCTCAAATGTCTTCCTACGCTTAACGTCTGTTATTCCTAGGACTCATTCTTCGAGTTTTAGAGAACAAGAACTTGGCGTATCATACAGTTAACAGGTTGGCAGATATCATATTTCATATTTCATCTCCCGTATTATTTCCTGTAACACTTTGCCTGTAGAGATGGTCATTGCTGCACCTTGTGGGTGATAACCTGGAGTACTTTTCTGTTTTGGTATTTTCTTTCAATTATTTTAGTGTCAAGCTTTTTCTGCACTAGTACAAAGGGGTGGAAATATTTTCTCCTCTACTTACTGGAATTGTTTGTACAAAATGGGACTTATTTGCCTTTTAGAATGGTTAAATTTGTCTGTCAAACCATCTAGGTCTCCTATTTTCATTGTGAGAAGAATAACATTTTCAAAATAATTATGGAGCAATTAAATTTTCCATTTCTTTTTTTGTATTTGTGAGTAGTATTTTTCTAAGATTTAAAAGATTTTTATTTTGTATTAAACTTTAGTTTAAGTGGCCCATAAGATTTGTTTATCATCTACATTTTATGGAATATATAATATAGGCATATGTTGGTCCATGTATGGACAGATAATTTTATCTCCAATTTCTATTTTGTAACCAGTGTTTTATCTAGAACAATCATATTTATTGATCATCTCCATGGCCCATGTTCCCAGTAAAAATGTCTTATGCTCTTCCCAGATTGCAACAACAAATTGGACTTCACAAACATTTATTAAACATTTTTATGTGATCTAGCTTAAGTACTAGGGATATCAAATTAAGTAACTAGTTCAGCAAATGTCCCAGCCCTCAGAAATTCACAGCTGGATTTCCTTGAGGGCAGAGTGAGGAGGGAGCTCAGTACTTGCTAGGCAGACCTGCAGGCCGGAAGTGGTTGGGGTCTTTGCCACTCCGGCCCCATTCATTGGCAAACTGGTCAGCCCTCGAGTCTTCTGCTCCATGGCCCGTTAATCTCTGAATACCTTCCCTGGTGTCACTGTAATCAAGGCAGACAGAGAGGAGATTAATCACTAGGCTGACAGGCAACAGCCTTGTCCTCTTGACTCCCCTTTCCCAGCATGGTGCTGAAAGGAACCCAGGTAGACCACAGAAGGGGAAGGCAAGGAACTGACCCTGTGTGGAAGCCATGCCCTGCCCATTCTTACACTGGATGGGCAGCACCAGAGAGGGAGGATTAGGAATCCTGAACTCCCACCAGGCAATCAGACCCAGCACTGAGCCCAGAGCAGGAGCTTAGGCAAAAGCAGGAGGAGGCCCAGTCTCCACAGGCAATGCCTCCACAGGGAAGAAGACGCCCCCTCCTGGCTGTCTGAGGCCCTCACAGCCTACTCACCCAGGCATGGCTCCCTAAGAACCTGTGTTACCTGATCACTTTAGCAGCCCAGGCACCGCCAGGTCCCCGTTTGGCAGCATCGTAGTTCCCCCGGGCATGGAAGTATTTGTCTGAATTTTTGTAATTGGCTTCTCTCATGTCCCGGTAGGCTCGCCACATGTCTCTAGTCCCTGGGGAAAAAGAGAATGTTGAAGACGACCATGCCTCGGCAAAACAGGGGAATAAACGATTTTCTACAACGGACTCCAAAGACTTCAGGCTTTGACAAAGGCCAGAGAAATAAAGAAATATCCCTTTCCTTTTTGTCTCGCTGGGTTCATGATAAGGGAGTCACCGCGTACAAGTTTTGTTCCACCTGATTCCATTTGACTTTTGTGGCTACTTGGTTTTGACTGTGTGAGATGCATGTAAAGAAGAGGTGAGATGGTCTTTAAGGGCTATTTCAGCATACAAGGAGCCTCTTAATTGTCAGTTAATCTTGATTGTCAAATTGTCTGGATTCAGAGACTCCAGAAGAGGAACTGGATCACAGGGGTGCTATGCTCATCAATAGGTGGATCCGTGGAAGATCATGACTGTGTATGTGGCTAGGAGTCAGGGCCAGTCTGAAGAGCTGGGTCACTGGGGTGCATGCATTTGGAGGGCGTATTTCTGCCTCGTCCTCTTCCCCTGTGCTCTACTTCCTTGCCACCATGAGGTGAGCAGTTTGGCTCCACCACAGCCTTCTGCCATGATGTTCTTGCCATGTTACCAGCCAACCATGGACTGAAACTGAGAACCAAAATAAACCTCTCTTCCTTTCAGTTGTATATATCAGGAATTTTGTCTCAACAACTGGAAAGCTAACCAATACATCCTGTCTAGAAAGATCCGGGAAAACTTCTGATCAAGGTAGAGAACATGGGAGTCTGAGGGAGGGTCCGGACCTAATGTGGTCAATGGGAGAAATCCACCCTCATGGGTAGAGTAAGAACAACCCTATTCTGAGTGCATCTGAATGTCCAGGGTATATTTCTGAGCCTGGACAACTGTCAGAAGTCAATCAGCAGGATAAACCAGACACAGAAACGGCAAATATCACATGTCTTCCCTCATATGTGGAAGCAAACAAAAGACCTCATAGTAGAGGAGAGACTATTAGAGAAGCAGTAGGGGACTAGGGAGAGGATGGAGGGGAAAGAGGTATACAGGTGGGTGGATATGATCAAAGCGTCATATACACATTTATGGGAATGGCACAGTGGAACTCACTAATTTGTACAATCGTATACATTAATAATTATAATTTTTAAAGAATTCAATCAGAAGGTGATAAAATGAGTTCTCTAAGGGAAATTTAAATAAACTGGATAATCAGAGGCAGAAAAGGGGCAACTGACCTCCCAGGTCCAAAACTTCACTGTCCTCCCAGGTAAAATGGTTTTATGGTAATAAAACCTCAGTGTTTTGCAGAAGAACTGAGAAAATATCCAAACAATGTCTGGAATATTACAAGTGCTCGGTGATGACTCAACTCTTCAGGTTCTTAGAAAGGGCAAGGAAAAAAAGAACAGGAACTAAACTATGCTAGTGTTAAATGAATCTTCAAATTTTTAAGTGGATGAGGAAAAGGAGAAAATCTAATGTATAGTTGGAATCATAACTCTATGATTTGTCTGTGAGGTCGTTGTTCCCAGACTGTATTTACTATGCATAAAGATGAAGCGGGTGTTTGGTGAAGGCCAGATTTCCAGGCTCCAGCCTCCCAGACTGTAACCTGGTGGAGAGAGGGAGTGGACGGGGCAGCCACGTTTCACAAAGCATCCCTGGCCCCAGCTATTCTCATGCAAGTGGTCCCAGGACAACCTTTGAAAGGCACTGATTAAGGAAAGAAAGAAATTTTAGCAGGGTATGTGAGAATTTACAAAGGATCAATAACAAATCCTTAAAGCAACCATTCAGAGGCCACCACAGAAATCAGCACCATCTGATTTTGCACCCAGAGCCTCCCACACGGGAGGCAAGCGTGCTGCCACTGAGTGACAGCCCAGCCCCAACGCCTGAAATTTTAAACGCTGCATTCTGAAAACAAAATCTCCCCACTCTGCCTAAGGGGTACATTTCCCTTACTGTTGATTCCAGGCCATATCCAGCCCCAAGAGCACTTTCAACAGTGGAATTCATTGTGTCCCTCACTGTGGAGGGAGGAGAGGAGTTGCCTTCCAAGGGCATCCCATCCTGGCTACTGGCCATTTCTCAGACTGTGTGTCCACAAATATCTCACTCTTGTTTTGGAAGCAGTATAGAAAATCTGAGAAGCAAGTCTACCTGGGTTAAATCCGCTTTTCTCTGAAACTTTGTTGGGTATCTTAAGCTCTTTTTCTCTCCGTTCTCTATGAGATCTACCTCACAGGATTAAAGAATAAAAACAAATTCTTCCAGTCCTGTAAAGCTCTAGCGCATACAAAAAGCTCCAGCTAATCTTGCTTGTTACTACTGCTATGTGGACGGGGGCTGTATTGGCTGTGCTCAGCTTCCCAGCGAATAGCAGTGGAGTCCACTTTTTTTTTTTTTGGTACCGAGGATCGAACCCGAGTTCTTGCACTTGCGAGG